GTCCAGGGACTTGGAGAAAAGCAGTCTGCACTTTTCCTGTTGATGGCTTCACTTCCCCTCTGCATTTGCAGTCCCCAAACTACATTAGATGCACGCCTGCCTCCATACTAGCTATTCCCGCTGGCTGACAAGTTCTTGGCCTCACTATTCCATTGCTCAGGCCCCCACATCATGCAAGTCTCTGAGCAAATCCTGCCTCATCGCAGATCTTCTCAGTCATGCCATATGACAGTCCCCGTCAACACCCTGTCCCCTTCTTCTGCTTTATTCTTGTCCATGGCTCCTGTCAGCCCTATACATTATGCACCTAACTGCTCATTTGTTGATTGTCTGGAGCCAAGGCTCCAGGTAAACATGGAGATGGCCTTGGCCTTGCCCAGCTGTGCCTTCCCTTCCCCCAAAGGCTGCTTTGACATCTACAGGACTCAGCCCAATTCTGATGTTCTCTCCAAGGCCTGCTGGGTCCAGCCAGCACCATTTCATCTGGAGCCCTGTGCTCAGTGAACCTTTCTCTGGCTCTGAGCTTAAGTTGGACCTCTCCCTCCCTATTGACTCACTTACTTTGTCTCCTTCCCTGCTGGATGTGGAGCCGTCTGCACCTCAGCCCACCACACACAGCATAAAACGTGTGCTGAAGTGCGAGAGTGACCCCCAGTCTCTTTGGGGGCCCAGGACAGAAGCCCATATGGTGCACGGACAGCACAGGATCACTGCGGCACCAGCTAGCTCCTTGCTTTGGGGGATGGAAAATCCAGAGACCTTTCCTGAGACTCCACCTCGAGAGGGCCTGGTCAGCCCGGCCTCCACTCCCTGCTCCCGGGTGGCCTCGCCCGGCTGTGAGCTGCTGCCCAGAGAGAAGGGAGAAGAGGGGCAGGGCAGTGGAGAGTCTCTCCCTAGCAGGCCGAGCTGCCTGGAGAAGACTCAGTGCTCGCGAGGATTCAGGGACCACCCCTGGGACAGCTGGGGTCACTCACGCTGCCACAAGGGGGGCTTGCACCTCCAGTCAGCCCCATTCTTTATTTTTAAATCTGCAGCTGGCTAAAGACTTAGAAGCAAAGCTGTGACAATCAGTTCATCTTGTCCCAGATGGGCTGTCATTCGGAGTCCAGAAAAAGGCTACTGAGACTGGAGGATGGTCATGAAAAACATGAGGCAAGTTGGCATCATCCCAGGGCTTCAGTGGGAGGGTCTGTGACAGCTCCTGGGGACTGAGTGGTAGCAGGTCGTCTGCTTGGTCAATGTGGCTTGATAACATTCCCACCAAAGCGAGAACCTTCGGTGTCCTAGTTTGAGCCCAGAGGCGGACATGGGGGTGACCTGTCCATGCCTGGTGGTTCTCTGCATGCCCCTATTCATGCTTGCTGGACATCCCTCCCCAATGGGCAAACATAGTTTTTAGGCCAGTTCTCAGGGCCGACCCCTGCTAGGGAGCACGAGTCCTCCTTTTCTGGACAGGAGACTGAAAGCCAAGCATCCTGGCCATAGTAGGCACTTGGGTTTGCATGGCTAGCATTCAGACTCCCTCCTGGGTCTGGGGGCCCTCCAGACATTACGAAGCTGGGCCCACCTGCGCTGTATGAAGAGGAGCTCTTGTCACTGCAGTACCAGTCACAGTGACCATGTCAAGGGAACCACCTAAGTGTCCATCAACAGATGAGTGGATTAAGATATGGAATCAACACAGGATGAAATACAATTGAACTCTAACAAGAGATGAATTCTTGCCACTTGTGAAAACATGTATACAACTGGAGGTGGTTATGCTACGCACAATAAGTGAGAAAGAGAAAGGCAAATACCAGATGATTTTTCTCATCTGTGGAATATGAAGAAACAAAGCAAAGCAGACAAATAAAACAAAGTCAACCCTTAAAACCTGACTACAGAGCTGAGGTGTGGGGGTGGGAAGAAAAGAGGGACAAGGACCCAGAGGACTAGCATGGAGGATTATGGCGATTTTGGTGGCGGGTGAGGTATGGCAACATTCATTTGAAGAGGTGTGAACCTGTGCCCCTAGAACATATACAGCGCTATAAGCCATTACTGCAATAAAAATATATATGACTTACTAAATAAATCACCATTTCATAGCTAAAATACAAAGAGGAGGAACCCTCAGAAACCATTTTACAAAACTCCCCCTGATTCCCTCACTAGCTGATGCAACACACCTGCCAGAGACTGAACTGACAGCTAGCAGCTGTGTGAAACCCACTCTGTGGCAGGTGGCAGCCTCTACGTTTGGCTCCCAGAAAAGCAGAGGCAGTGGTCCTAGTGACAGTGGCCTGCGTTGGGGGCATCTGCGGTTCATATCTCAGGGTGTAAACCCAGGCACCCAGGGGAGCGGCCTGGGCCTGAACCTGGCTTAGAGCTGCCAAGCCTGGTGATCAGAGATGTATCTCCTACCCAGCCGGAGTTGTTTTCTGTTATTTGTGAAGAAGGTTGACACAGTGGCAAAGGCTGACATCGAGGCCACAGGAGACTAGAGCCAGGGACTGGAGATTCTTGGCAAGTCTATCTTGGGTTTCTGCGTGGAAAGGTCTTTCAGGAAGGGAGGCAAGAAGCTAGAAGCACCGCCTGGTGCCCAGTTCAGACACGACGTGGCCCAGTTCAGAAACGACGTGTAGGGACATCAAAACTATGCCCTTTGCTGGGGGTGGAAGCATCTGGGGGACACCCCACTGGGACAGGGCCACTGTGGCAGAGGACGGAGGCTGGAGATGTGGATGTCCCAGGGGCCAGCACCAGGAACACTTCCACAGGAATCTGAAGACCGTGCCTCCTCAGAAGCTGTTTTTCAACCCCCTCCACACCAGTCGCTATTTCTGAGGCCAAGTCATGCCTGGCCATTGTAGCCCACAAGAAGTGCTTTCTGAGCAATTCATTTTTCAGAATCATTGACATATGGCCATAAGGCAGAGGGATGAATCACATGACTTCAGAGTTCATTGGCTCCAATTACTCCAGTCCTTCTAAGAAGGCATTTTTGCCATAACTGCACATATGCTCCTTAAACACACACACACAGAATTGTTTTCTGACGGAATTTTTCCCTCACCCAAACCATTCGTCAAATGCTCCCTACAAAAGACCAGGGAATAGACTCTTGCCGTTTCGGGTCTCCTTCTCCCTCCAAGAAGCCCCCTGGTACCACAGACGTGGTTTTTCTTCATTCGCTTTCTCCTGGGGAAATGGGGGGTGTCATGGGAGGGGGAACAAAGGGCAGTGGGCTCTAGAAGGGTGATGTGGCTTCACTTTGCCCTCTGTCAGAGCTGTCAGGGCCAATTCTGGGAGAACAGACGGCATTCTGGGAACAAGCGGAGTGCAGAGCCGCACAGAACAGATGGCAGGGACTTCAAAAGCATGAGTCACCTTGAAAGATGGCACCCAGGGTGAGGGTGGGAGGCTTTTGTACCCTTTGACAACAAGGAAGCGAAGAAGACAAAGGTGATTTGCCAATAGGTGCAAGCCAAGAGAACAGAAATGGAACTGCTGTAATTGACACCGAGGGAGGCTGAGCCTCCTGGTGGCTTCCTGTCCAGAAATAAGTGGCATCAATCAACTGACAGTTCCTCTCCTCCTGATCTTCTGGTCTTTTTGACCTGCTTTTTTTCAGTCAGGGAGCCTTTACATCCTCTCCTCCAGGCAGAGGATCTCACCTTCCCTGCACCACACCCAGGAAGAGCCACAGGCACTCCAACTGCCCTCCTGATAGACCTCTACCCTGGGACACCCTGGCCTGACAGTATCTCCCCTGTGCCCCAGCCTCAGGCTGTCACAGGACACGGCTGACTGCCTATGACGGGAAGTCTCTGGAGTGGAGAGGGGAGCGCCTGTGACTCCCACGCTTCCTCCCTTGCCATCAGCAGCCCTCTTGCACGTTTTACAGATGGACAAACCGAGGTGCAGAGGCTCATAGCTGCTGGTGTCCGTTCCAGCAAGGAAGGCCAGCGTGACCAGAGACAGAGTCTTCCTCCTTGCTGCTATGTTCACCTGCATCAAGGCTGGGCCCCACTGCTTGATCTGTTTGTTCCTGGCTCCAAGACAGGACAGGCATTCCACCCCCCCCAACCCCAGCCCCGGGGCCACTCTGCCAATGAGGATGGGCAAGAGCACCCTTTCCACCACCCCTAGTGTGGAGGAGCAGCAGGCCCAAACCAGAGGGACTACAGGGCTCCTCTAGCCTGGAAACCCAGCCCACCAAAGCCAGGGTGGTGGCAGGACAGACCTCTTCTGTCCTCCCTGCAGCCCCCAAAGCCTTTTCTCTTCTCTGTGTGGGCCTCAGTAGCTCCCAGAAGGGACCAAGCCTCAGAAACCTGTTCTCCTTCTTTGACGCTGACAGCTTGACGCCAGTGGAAGTGCGGCACTATTTTCAGGGTTTCATTTGAAAGAGGCTTCAAAAGAGTGAATGGAAGGCTCAGCTGAATTGCTTATTATGGCTCTTCTCCTGGCCAGCTCTCGGCTGGTGAGCCCAAACACGGCATCTGTGGCTTTGCACGTCATCCACAGGCAGGTGATTGTGCTAAATTAGAGCTTGCCTCGTTTTAGAGGGCTGTAACTCTTGTGGAGTCTTCCCCAAGCAACCAGGCCTTCTGTGGCATGTACCTTTCTTACATTATCTGTGCTCGAAGTGATCCAGCAGGGAGCCTATCAGGCGAATTCTGAGACTTATTTATGTCATGTCTTAAGGCCCCCCTCAAATACATATGCTACTATGAAACCTGAGTGGCTGTGTGACCCCAGGGTCCCCAGAGAAGAGTGGCACCAGCAGGAAGGTTCGGGCAGGTATGGCGCCAGGCCGTGCTACATGCTACGTGCTACATGGGTAGGAGCTGCAGGCCAGGCCACACACACTGTCTCTGGGGCCTGCCGCCCCTCATCGGGCTTCTCACCTGTCCCCATCACATCAGCCTGCCATGGCCTGCAGTCCTAGAGTGTGGACCCATCTCCACCTCTGCCTTCCCACACCTGCCACAGAAAAAGTGTGCAAACTGTGTCACTCAAGGAAGGAAGGAAGGATCTAGTCATCTGAGGAGAAAGGTCTTAGCACTAACATGGATAAGAAAGAGGGAGGAAGGGAAAGACGGATGAGGGAAGTCACAGGAGCAGAAATGGTGAGGCTTTACTTCATGGAAGTACTGAGCACTTTGCTGGGACAGGACCGTGGCTCAGGTAAAAAGCATGCTGTCCGTCCCCGCCCACGGAACACAGTGCTCGTGTTCTCGACCGTCTCCCAGGGCAAAATGAAGTATTCACTTTGGAGCGAAGAGGGACTCTTAGCAGGAAGCAGCAGGAACACAGGGTGCCCAGCTTCCAGAAAAGCCTTCAGTCTTGCTTCTCAGCTCTGAGGGGCCCCAGAAGTCCCCTGCAAACAGCCAGAGCCTCGGCTCTTCCCACCCACACAGAGACTTATCAGCAAAACTACAGTGTCCCCTGAGCAGAGGGACCTCAAAAATTTGACCCACCATTATCCACTAGCTGGAGCTCAGCATATAGCTCGCAGAAATAATGGACCCCTATTGTTGTCTACACCCCACCCCAGGTCAGATGATGTCTGAGAGAAACACCACTCACCAGGACACTGGCCACAGACTGGGAAGGCCCTGTGCTCTGGTTTGCCCTTCCTCCTCTACCATCCATCACACCAGCCTTCTGGGAAGGGGTGGGGGCCTCGGCTGGGCTCAATCTCAGAGAGGAGCATTGCTGCTGCATGAGCACAACGCTCATTCCCAACGCATCTAGGGCCACGGGCTCATCATGTGGCTCCCCCAGAGCCTGCCATGGTGGTCTCCCCAGTTGGGGATGGGAAGGGGGGCAGATCGGGCAGCACCGTCCTCCCAGACGGACTCCCCTGCCTGCCCCAGTTCCACACACACTTGGCCCAGATGCAGGAAGAGCTGGCTTCCCCTTCAATGCGTGCCTATGTGCAGGTTCACTAGATTTCAGAAGATGTGGGGTTTGTTTCTGAAACGCGAGAAACTCCTAGTTCATGGGCAGCGAGGATGAAATCCTTGAAGACCGTGAGCCAAAGTAACTGGGAGCAACTTCCTAAATCTGGGTTAGAATTATGTCGCTGGAAAATAGTTCTGCCAAGAAAGCAACAGGCCAAGAAAGCAAAGTATGAGAAACCCCTAATTCCACAGAAAGATAAAGTTGTTCTATTTGGTAAAGAGTTTGGTTTGCAGACAGACTGTATCCTGTTAGGATGTGCCGTTTGTCAAGGTCCACTCGTCTCACTGCTGCTGCTGCTGCTGCTTCTGGAAGGATGTTTCATCATTAAGATGTGTCACTCGCTCATCGAGCCTATTTCGGTTAACACTCTGCAAGCGCCAATTTAAACTGGCTTCTCAGTTCACTCTCACGCGAACGACACCAATTTCCAATTCCGCCTCAGACTCCAGAAGACCAGATGCTGTGACAAATGTCCCAGCCAAATGAACCCAGACAATGATCTGTGGTGCTCTGTGGGGGAGCAGGGGACACAGGGCTCTCTCTGTGGTGGAGACATACACTGGCTTCAGGTCACTGGTGGCCATCTCCTCCTTGCCAGTACTTCTGATGGGACATGCTTCGTGACAGCACAGGGGCTCGGGGACAGAAGTTCTTGGCGGGACTGGAGGGCCGAGTGTCGAGGATCTACTGCGTCTGGCAGCCCGAATTCGGCAGCAGTTCCTGCAAATGAGAAGCAACTGCCTTTGTCAGGTAGGTCATTGTCCCATATGCCCCGCTTGGGGCACTGTCATAGAAGACGTGGCAAATGCCAGTGGCCTGGTCTTTCTCCAGGGTGTCCATGGCTCCCATCGACATCTGCAGAGGAAAAGGCAGAGGCAAAGAATGAGCCAGTTCACTCCCTCAGTGCTCTGGTGATGGTGGGCTGGGTGGTGCTCACTGGCGAGGTCAGGGGAGCTAGAGGAGGCTGGAGGCTGCAGACAAGAGCTCCAAGCCTGACTGCAGGCAGGGCCGGCGGCCTCTGCTCCAGGCACTACACTGTGCACCTGAGCAGCCTTGTTGGCAGCCCACGACTGGCCCAACAACGAGAGGACAGCTGCTCCTAACTTGGCTTTAGGTGCAGGGATAAGGGCCTTGGACATAGTGAGGGTGGCGTCTGCCCGTTAAAACAAGCCTGTCCATTTCCAAAGGTCCCTACATTTCCCCAGAGGCCACTGTGCCATTTTCTCATCAAATGGTTGACAATTTTTTTTTACCATTTGTGATGACATTTTCTTTGTCTGAGAGTATCCTTGCCTATTGGAAGCAGAGTCTCCGCCTTGAGATGAATGCCAGCCACCCTGGCTACCCTTCACTTTGGCTGTGAAGTGGTTGGGTGGCCTGGGCATACCCACCTGGTCCTGCAGGAACAGCTGATTGGCCATCTGCACGATCTGGTCCACGTGGATGATGCCCCCGATGCTGTTCATCTCCGCGTCTGAGAGCAGCGTCAGCACCATGATGGCCTCCACCAGCAGCTGCCGGTACTCTGGCTGGGGCACACGGTTCAGCACTGACTCTACATGCACAGCGAACTTGATCTCTTGCGGGGTCATCTACCAGAGAGACTGTGTGTGAGTGGGGGACAGACACAGCTCTGTCACAAATGCTGACCACAGGACCCACTGGCTTTGGGGCTTGGCTCAGATGGTGCCTCCTTTCTGATCCTGCCGATAGCAATCACCTTGAGCAGGGGACCAAAAACTGCTCTGAGTGTTGACTTTGTCCCAGCTACGCCACTGGACTGTGACTTCAAGGGGGGAGGGCACATTTCTTTTTTCTTTCTTCTTTATGGCATGTAGCATGGTGTCTTAGAGAGGGAGAAAAAACTAAAACATCTATGCTTAAGAGAGTGAAAGGCAGAAAACCTCAGGAAGATGTCTATTCTCAGTGGAGGTGGCAGGGGGGCTTCTAAGGGGCTGCAGTGGGACTGGTCAGCAAGGCCAGCAGCTTTGCTCTTTTCATAGGGTCTCAAGGAGCAAATCTAAAAATTCGTGATAGCAGAAATGCTGCCTCTCAGGGGAAGGGAAAAGAAAAGGTGATGCTAACTGAGTGTGAAAAGAAGCTTCGCAAAAAGTTGGTTAAGGATCGGACCTTTTAGCGAATGCTGTTGTTGATATCCAAGAAAGAAGCGTGCGTGGTCAGAGTGGATGAAATAAACAGAGTGGAAACCCATGCCAGGCAGGCCTTTGGGTTCTTCCCAACATACCTCTCGTGTTGCTGAAGAAGGGAGCACGTAACCATCGATGGACAGACCGTGGCACTGGAGGCAGAACACACATCGCATTTCAGGCAGGGTCCAGAAGACTAGTAAGTACGCACTCGCACGCACACGCGCACGCACGCACTCCAGCTGCTCTGCCCTGGAAACCTGCACGCACGAGGGCTGGAACACGCCAGACTGTCAGAATTATTTTTAGAAAGCTTGTTCTCACTGCCCACAGGCTGTGTTTTCGGTGGAACAATTCTGGGGAACCAGCAGGCATCTTTCAGATCTCCCAGGAACAATGCCCCAGGGAGCTGGCCCGCCCTCCTGTGAGGAAGCTCTGCATTTCCCTTGGCAACCCAGCCAGGCGGGCAGCTGAGAGGCCCCCGTTGGTGCCACAGAAAGATTTTCATGACTCCTGCTGGCGGAGCCATACTTCTGTGCCTTTGCAGGCATCTATTTTGGAGATTTCTATAATAAGCACCAATCACAAAAGACTCAAGCACATGCACAGACACGCGCACACGCACACCCGTGTGTATATAAATACCAAGCGTCGGCTCCACATAAAGTGCTGCTTTTTCATAATAAAAGTGTCCTGGTTTGGAGCCAGAGCAAGTCGGGATGTGAGCATGTGAAGTCTCAGGAAGAGTAGGGAGATTTTCGAGGAATACTTGGTCCTAGTGCAAGTGGCTGCTCTCTGCATTCCAGTGCCCTGGCTGGCAGCACTACCCACCTGCCCCCCAGGGCTGAGGACAAAGCTGTAGCAAGTTGACCAGCAGCAGAGAACAGAGGAGAGCCAGGCCCCGGTGGCCCTGAGGGCTCTGCTCCCTCATGGGGACCAGGACGTCCACTGCTGGGGGACAGGAAGGGCTCTGCCCCCCCGTGCCCAGTGGAGAGCAGCTGGGTCCCCACACAGCAGAGGCTGACTGCTCAGGAGATTTCTGGGTGGGGCGGTGGCTCTGGGAAGGGGCTGGGATGTCTGAGCTAGCTTGGGATTGCTTTCGTCTCCTCTCCTGCACAAGTAACAGGAAAAAATGCTCCTGCTCATGGTTTGCACAGAAGCTTATTTTAACAGAGACCGACTTTCCAACTGTGCAATTCCTGCCCCTGTGAACTCTGGTGGGACCCAGGGGCAGTGCACAGTCCAGCGAAGCAGGAGGGAGGCAGAAAGCTATGCGGTAACTGGGGGGTGGGGGGGCGTTGGGGGGCCTTTGTGTATGTGCTGCCGTGATGGCTGTCACTGCCTTCTATTTACAGTGGCCTCTGCTAACAGCCCCAGGCAGCTGGGAGCCACCTACAACTGCAGACCTGGTGGGGGTCAGGGTCCTCCCAAGGCTGGACACGGGTGAGTGTGTCTTCAGGGCAGTGACCTGGGGTCAGAAGCTTTCCCATTTGTTTCCCCTTAGGGCCTGACGTGCTGCCTGCAGACCCTGGTGCAGTGCCCTGAAGGACTGGCCACACAGGAGGCCGAGGAGCTGTGTCAGGCCTCCAGTGGCGGCGTTTTCATCCAGAGCCTCCCTGCCTTCTCCAGTTCCGGTCTCTCTTCTGACATGCCCTTCACCTTATGGAAGGTATGTTTTTATAGCAACAGTTCTCAACCGGGCGATGTGCCTCCCAGGGAAAACTGGGAATGTCTGGAGGAATTTGGGATAGTCACAACTTGTGTGTGTGTACTGGAATGTAGTGAGTGGAGGCTAAGGACGCTGCTTAACCTCTTCCAGGCCATAGAACAGCCCCCACAGGAAAGAATTATCTGGCCTCAAATGGCAGTGTCGCCAAGTGAGAAGCCCTGCTTCAGGCTGTGAACTAACCGAGGTCAGAGGCTATGTGGAGGCTTGTCCTAGAGGTGCCGCCAGTCCTCACCAAGGGGCTAAGGGAAGAGGGTTCATCTCCTGCCTCCCCTCAACCCCCTTTGTACCAAGGCCTATGGCATGCAGCACAGAAGCCAAACTCACCTTCTGAAGTATCTTCCACACTTTCTGGTAGAACCCCACGGGGACCCTGTTGATGGCCCCATCCAGCCTTCTCCTGCGCAGCCACTGGCCCTGCCGCTCTCCCCAGCCAATGTGATGGCCACCTGAGTCTGTCGAAGACGTGCCAGTGGGTGAGGATGGGGTACTGGACCTCTGCAAGACAGACAGCATGTGGCCTTCGGAAGTCTCAGGCAGCCCCCGGCAGAGTAGGCCACTGGGAGGGTGGGCTCAGTGAGCCAGTGAGCCCACCAGCTCACGGCCTGCCCAGAGAGGAACATGGCTCCTGGACTCCACATTTCCTTCAGCCTGGCTGGATCAACTTTCTGGTACTGGTTAGTTACTGAACTTGCATACATATCTCCCAGCCCCTAAGAGGCACCATGCATTCAGGGGCCCAGGGTTAGTTACTGAACTTGCATACATATCTCCCAGCCCCTAAGAGGCACCATGCATTCAGGGGCCCAGACTAGCGGGGCCCCACACGTGTGGCTGGTGGCAGGCTGCTAATCCCAACCCAACACCTGCTGCGCTGGTCCCCACCACTGACGCTGGCTCCAGGCCTCAGCCTCATCTGTATGGAGGGGACACAGCCGCTCCCCCTTTATGAGCAGTCTGTGAGCGCTCATTGAATGAAGCCACAGAAGGCCTGCGGGCTGGCTGACTCGCGGTAAGTGTCGTGGTGTAGGGTCACCAGGGGATGTGGCATGGCTGCGGCAGGGCCTGAAGGGACACAGGATTGCAGCCAAGTGCACCCGCCTTCCCATCCCGCGGGCACCACTGGGAATGTAGCACAGAGCACAGGGGTGGGTCTGGAGCCAAAGACCAAAAGAAAAAACTGCAATCCACATTTAGATGCGGGGACCTCAGAGATGACAGCATTCCAACCTTCCTTTTCAATCCGCTTTCTGCTTTGCCTGAGCTCAGCACAAGGTTTTAGCCTAATTTGGGGCGATGGCTGCCTCCGTGCTGGAACACATGCTTTGCTGAAGCAGAGGGAGAGGGCGTCATCTCCTTCCCACCTCCTCTCCGAGGCTGGGTCTATTCTGGCCTCCTCGACAGAGAACTGGGGCACGGCCAGCACTTCTGCTTCTGGCCTCGCCAGGCGCAGCCCGCCTCCAACCACACAGGCATCTGAGAGGCTCCCAGTGGGGGCCTGGAGACCAACACCTGTCGTGGGGCTCACTCAGAGTGGGGGGCGGCCATGCAGCGTGCCCCCACCCCCAACCTCTCGGCCAGCCACGGCGAAGCTCTTGGCCCACATTCTCCTCCAGGAGGGACTCTAACCCCTCTGCTTCCAGGTAGGGGAAGGTCTGGCCTTCCTTCCACGGATCTGTCTTCTGGACAATCTGACACTCTGCTCTCAATGCCAACCTCACATTTAAAGGCTTGAAAATGAAATGGGAATGTCAGGCACGCTAGAAGGAGGCAGGAGTCTTCTCTGCACTCATTCTGACTCCATCTCATCTTATTTTGAAAAGGCTGTTAGGCTGGGTTATTCCGTTGGGCTCATTACTGCCATTTAAATACGGCAGCAATTAGACACAAATAAAAGTAATTACAGCCGCACTCATCAATGACTCAGCTGGTTTTCGCCTAGTTTCAGGAGGAAGATTCAGACTCGTCTCTGCAATTAGAACATTTCCTAGCCCTCCTCTTGATCTGGGGCCCTAAGCCAGGCAGGGGTGTTGTGAGTGCAAAGTTCGACTCAGCACGTGTGGGCAATGATGCGGCACCAAGGCTCCACAGAAGGCAGGGAGCCAGTGCCTCGGGCCCTGCAGAGGCTTCTGGGAGCAGGTGAGGAGGGCACTCCACTGTGCCCACTGAGGAGCACAGCACCCACGGCTCAGCTCAGGAACTGGGCCTCTCTCTAGACTCGCCTCATGATGACAGTGAAATGTTCGAATGTTCGGGTGTTAGGGATGGTGGCAGCAGGAGGACTCAGACACCACAGGGGCCGGCGAGGGACGATGGCTTACCGCAGACTTGGAGGAGTACACGCTGCCGGCTGTGGCTGGGCTCACAGGGAAGAGCTACAAAGCAAAGAGTCCACTCAGTGGTGCAGTGACATGCGGCCCAGGCAGAGCAGGGACGGAGAACAATGCCCAAACACCCACGGAAAGGGGGTGTGAGGAGGTGGTGGGACCAGCAGGCACCCCGGAGGGCAGCAGGAGCTCTACCAGAGGAGAATTTGAGAAATGCTCTTTCTCTGAGTATTAAATGTCACCAAATTCCAGCATGATGTGGACGGTACCTCATCAAATCAAGACACAGCTTACTTTGCAAAGTGACAGCCAATGAAATGCTAGTCTTGTGAAAAATCTACAGAGATCAACAAAATACTCATAACTAGCATTCAGCATCTGGCAGCTGTTGGCATTCAACAGTGTTTGTTAAATGATGACATCTGACCAAACAATTATTTGCTCATCTAAAAATATAGAATGTACCCTCACATTGCAAAAGTGAATTGAAATTGTAAGTGCTGTGGCATCTATTAAATTTCAACGGAGAATAAACTATTTCCTGGATGTAAGGGACCAAATAAACTTATACTGGCTAATAGGATCTAACACCATCAAGAAAGAAACGTGTGATCATTTTCTTCCCTAATATGCAAGGATGGCATTAGATGGAGGGAGAGAAAGTCACCCCTACTCTTTCATGGTCAGCCACCATTGGGCTGTGGGAACTAGAGGGACGGTGCCACCGAGTGGCTGGCAAAGGAAGATGTCTGGAAACTCCCTCTTGACTGGAAAAAGCATAGAGTCGAGTCCATGTTTTGTCCAGGGACAGCACGAGGCACGTGCATTTACATGTCACTTGCATGCGATTCTATGTTCCCCATATGCTCTCCGTTGTGGAACCGTTAGTCTGGGCACTCCCTCCAGTTTTCTGGAGGGAGGGAGTGGAGGCCGTAGTCATGAAGGGGATATAGAAGAGTGGTATCCTTCATTCCGTGAAGGGTTGAATTCCCCCAGGCGATCTGGGGGCCAAGGATATTCTTTCCGTGACTATCACAGCATACCTTGATTTATTGTGCTTTGCAGACAATTGTGATTTTTTACAAACCCACCAACAACAAAGAGACCAAGTCACAGGAGGCTTGGGTGATAGTTAACATTTCTTAGCCGTAACATATTTTAAGTGAAGGCACATATGTATATTTTTTAGACACAATGCTGTAACACATTTCTGGACTACAGTGTAGTGTAAACATAATTCTTATATGCACTAGGAAGCCAAAAGCACTGTGTGACGGACTTGCAGTATTTGCTTTATTGTAGTGGTCTGGAACTAAACCCAGTCCATCTGAGGTGTGCCTAGAATCAATTTTGCTTTTCTTATTTTTCCCCACCCCCTCTTTTTTTTTTTTTTTAAAGGAACTCCTGCTTGGGAGAGCCTGGAACCACCTTTCTCTGCAAAAATCCGAGTTTAATAAGGTAAGTGGATTCTTTAAGGCAGGAGGCAAGGTCATTGCTCCATTTCCCTCTGGCTCTCCACCTGCCCCAGGGCTTCCTGCCACAATTATGGCATCACCTCCACCCAAGCCTGCTCCACGGGCACAGCCATGTTCTACTTGTCCAGACTCCACACTCACATTCAAGCCAGAAAGAACATGTAGCACACAGAGTAAAGGATGACACAGACAAAGACATCTTACCTGTTCATCAGCACTAAATCGCCTGGTCATCTGAAAGCAAAAACACATCAGGAAGTAAACACCAGGTTTGAATCAAGAATGCCCCAGGGACTTCTGTCAAGCCCCCCCCCCCCCCCAGATAAGCCAGAAAGTGCTGGTCCAGAGCAGGCTGTGTCCCATAAGCGCCTCAGGGACCCAATCCCCAATCCAGTGAGTCAGCATTTGAGATGGAGGTGACAATCTAGGTGCATTTGCCACTGCAAGTCTTGGGCAGTAGGAAACTCTTTCCTGCTGTGGGTCATGGTCAAGTCCTGAAAAGCTGTTCACTGGCAGTGCTATGGGGTCAGGTCAAAGGGGATTTATTGTGAATAAGTTGAACAAAAACAAGGACACCTGTGGCTGGTGGAGATTTTGGGAGGCCGCTAGCACTCTTCGATTTTTAGATTCCCGATTTCATTTGAAGGACACATTTGATGGAAAAGTTATTGGGCAGCTCTACTGTGGGATTCTACCATTCTACCATTGAAGTGGGCTGTGGCCCACTTGAAAGGGCAGTTTTTGGTAACAGAAGAAAACACGGGGAAGGGTGTATTCTGGAATGTTCACATTGTGTGTTAAGGTTAAGGATGGGCATGTGTGCATGCATGTGAGCGGGGCTGGGATGTCATTATACAGGGCTGTGTTCAAACTGCAGGCCAGAAGGGATCTCATATCCTCTACAAAGTGGGCCACATCCTACCTTCCCTGGGTTTCTCTCACTTTCTCCCATCCCAGTTCTCTCACTTTTGGAGGCAAATTCAGACAGGAAAATCACTTTCTCCCCCACACCACGCCACAGAGCTCTTCTCACCTGCTTCATCTCACTCCTCAGTCTGTTAATGCCACTCCTCTCGGTTTTGGTGACTCCGGTATGCCCCACCTCATGGATGGAGATGGCAGGGCTGGAGGTGGAGGAGTGTATAGGCCGCACTGGGGAAACGCACACATAGTTCTTAGAAACCAGGTCACATCCAGCTCGGCAGAGCAAACTGCACCCATCACCCCCACTCAACTATCAGCTCCCTCATAGGCCCCACCATCTGGCTCTGCTGTTCCCAGCACCTGAAGGGGACCTGCTACATAGCCCACCCCATGCTTCTTGAGTGAACAGATGCAAGGTTGACCGTCATTTGAACAATGTGCAGAAAATGCTGAGTGGCCATAACGCTGTAAATGAATTGCTTATGTGCGGTTTTTAGAAGTAACTTTTTACTTCTCCAAAAGCACATTTGCCATGGAGAAAATTGATATCAACCCGCCCCACCCCAAGAAAACCAGAAGTAACATTTTAATGGTCACCTTCCCAGGGGGTTTTATGATGGCAGGTGTGTTTAACATATATAACAGAATCGTTGTGAGTGTGTGTACACATATACAAACATAAGATAGATATACACCACACACACACACACACACACACACACACACACACACGAAGCTCTGTAATCTGCCTTTCTTTTAAAGCTTACTAGATAGTGAATGTCTTTCCATGGCACTAAGTATTCTATTGCGTCACATTTAATGATTGCATGGTTTTGGAGTTCATGAGCAAAGAAGAGACCCTATCCTCTATTTTTCTAGAGGGTTTATCATGACTAATGTCTGGAACTTGCAATGGACCTTCCCAGCCCCATGCGAAGGATCACCCAGGGGACATGCCTGCTGCTTGCTCGCCGAGGGGAATGCCTGGTCTACTGCTCATGGCCGCTGGCCAGGCGGCCCAGGAGGGTCTCCCAGTGCCAGGCCCCATCTCAGCAAAGGTTCAAATTCTAGGCACATGTTCTTGAAGAGATGTGGAGCAAAATGAAATGGAGGCTGAGGACAGCCAGCAGCAGCGTGGGACCGAGGCTGGTGGAAGGGCATGGGGGCTGGGGAGAGTTGTGCTGGAGGACAAGCCGAGCAAGAGCTAGGTGCAGAGAAGACAGATACGGCAGCCTGCAGGTCAGTGCATTGTGCCATCACCGTACTTCCCACAGCCACAGCTGCCTGCTACCTGTCTCCAGCCCTGCCACTGACAACCTGGTTTTCCCTGAGAGGTCATGGGGTCATTCCAAAAGATGAGTGTGAGAGTGTCACTGCCACCTGGAGTCCTTTCTGGCCTACCCAGGACAGCCATGCCTCCCAGAAGCACACAGGGTCCCATCACCGTGCTCAGCTCTGTACCTGGGCCATGGCCCGGGCCTTTGCGCAGGATGCTCCCTCCCACCCTGCAGCTCACTCTACCTCTGGACACACCCAGGTGTCTGCAGGCCCAGCTCAAAGGTCACTTCATTGACAGTGTGCCTGCACACCACCTGCCCACCCAGCCCAGCCAGAGAGTGGAGTCAAAAAAGGGGCCTTGGGTCACTGCCCTTTAAAGGTCAGCAGAGAGGAGGGGGTACAGGAAGTGGGATGCAAAAGCAGCGGTCTAGGGAGCCAGGGGGCCTCTCTGGGGTGTACACTAGCTGCACATGATTAGCTCAGCATTTCAGGGTTGAATAGAAATTTTGACTATTTGAATTTTCTGATTTGTAAACATCGAACAAAGGACGCTTCACAAATGATGGCATATCTGAAAAACAGGACCTCTTCGGACCTTGCTCCCAATTAGACACACTTAGGATTTTGAAGGGACATTACTCTTTTCTTAGTTTCACAGGCAACTACAGTTTTACACCTAATAAATTTTTAGCCATCAACTGAGGGAAGACATGTGCTATTTTGATGAGCAGAACACATTAAATATTGATCTTGCATATTTACATTTCAATGCTTGAGCTTTTGAAAGAACTGGAAAGTACTTTAGAAGCAGAGCTGGGGCACCCTCCTTCAGGAAAGGAGAAGAGCCCCCAAACTCAGCTGATGATGGCACGATGCCAGCTGGCACAGGCCATGGGGAAAAAATACCAAGTACCCAATGTCCTTCTTATTAAATAAAAAGAATGACAGCCCATGCTACATTTCTTTGGCTTGATGAAATAAATTCACAAATGTGCCTGCAAATCACTTAGGTTTTTTATGAGGAGGAGAAATGATAATTGCTTCAATTATAATTAGGGAGCATTTGAGAACAGAACTCCGCCAGGACTTGGGCAATTATTTTTCCTGGCACTGCAAACAGGGTTTTGGTACAGATAAAAACTGAGCGAGCAAGACGGGGTCGGAGCAAACTCACTCAGCAAGATGGTGCCAAGGGGTTGTAGAGGCCCCTTGTTCCAGTGCCACAGATGGTTTGGCTGAGAACTCTCTACGCACACCAAAGGTGGGGCCTGGGTGCTCTGGATGATGAACTCTTTCATTCTGACTTCCAGGCCCCCTCACCCTTCCTAATAACTGTGCACCAGTGGGTACGGCAAGGGGCACGGAGATGTCGGGCCTGGGTGCCGAGGGGTGCACACAGTGCCCCGGTGATTGCACCATGTGGAAGAATGGCTCCCCCAGCAACCTCAGGGGGTCACAGAGTTGCGCTATGGCTCTGTCCACCTTCGACAATCACACATTATGTCCCAAATTGTGACCACTAATGCCAACTTGTACATAAATGAAGCCACTGCAGGCAAGGCTCTCCGCAGAGGCAAATGGGCGTTTACTTACTGCTTCTTTCAACGCCAAATTCTTTTCCACTTAGAATATGGTGCAAGAGATTTTTCATGTCAAACGGGCTGAGATTCATTAAACTTTCAGAAGCTTCTTCTCCTAAAAACACAGATCTTGGTAAGTGTCCCAGAGGCAGGGCTGGCAAAGAGGTGGAGGAAAAGGAACACTCTTACATGGCTGGTGGGAATGCAAACTGGTCCAACCACTATAGAAAGCTGTGCAAAGGACCCTCAAATTACTAAAAATGGAGCTACCATATGACCCAGCATTTCCACTGTTAGGAATCTACCTAAGGGACACAAAAACACTAATTTGAAGGAATCCTGCACTCCTATGTTTACTGCAATATATTTACAATGGCTAAGACATAGAAGCAACCTACGTGCCCCAAAACAGATAATGAATCAAGAAGAAATGGTATATATACTATGGAATAGTATTCAGTCATCAAAAAGGATAAAACTCATGCCAGTCACAGCAACATGGATGGAGCTAGAAGAGATGATGCTCAGTGAAATAAGTCAGAAGGAAAAAGAAAAATGCCAGATGGTTTCACTCATCGGAGGACTATATAAGGGAACTGACCAGGAGAAAAAAAAAGACAAAACCAGCAGGCAAACTCTAGATGAGACAGAGAGTGGAGGGGAGGGGAGACAAAACAGGGTAGGGGAGAGGTCAAGGGACTGTGGTGATGTCCACAGGTGCAGTGGTAATGGGAGATGTAGGAGGGACACAGCTGAGGGGAGACATCAAATATTGTGCACAAATGTAAGAGAATAAATTGGCAGGTTTCCTTCCGGTAGCGGTGCTGCTAAGCGGGGATGACAGCTCATAGCAAGGAGCTGCAGGGACTGACATGTCAGGGGCAGGGCAGGTGCTAGTGCTGCATTTGCCTGGACATGAAATTCAACACCCTCTGCAGGGCAACTTGGCAGAAGGTACACCTACGGGAGAGAACCTAGTAAAGCGAGAGCCGCGGGAGGGATCCGAAACCCTGCTACCAGAACACTTGGGCAGGGTCTGTTTGGGCCAGGTGGGGGCCTCGCACCTGAACAGTTCAGGCTCCTCGCCAGCTCCGTGGCCATCACCTGAATGATCAGCCCGATCCGGAGTCTGAGCATCTCCACAAAGAGCCTGGGCTGGGCCCTGACGTACATGGCCAGGTAAACCACGATCTCCTGATGTAGACACAAGAGAGAGTGTTTCAGAGCGCCAGCAGCAGGGGCCCAGAGAAGGTGCGCCCAGCCCCTGCCCAACAGCTACCTGGGTGAGCACAGCAATGCTGATGTCCTGCCCACTGGCTTCATAGATGAGTTTGGTGAGCTCCTCTGGGGGAAGGGGCCTAGGAAGGAGCAGGACAGAGGCCTAGGAGCTGGGGCTCTGCCCTTCTAGGGAGAGCCCTATTTTCTGCCTAGAAGCTCCCAAGAACAGTATCTCTAAAAAGACCTCTTCCTGGATGGTGGAAGGCACTGATGTTCTCCCCGTGGTCCCCGAAAAACCTGAGGCCCCAGGTCCAAGACTTACGCGGAAATGGTCTTCTCCCGGGGCTCGGGGGGCAGGCCTACAGTGAGCTGCTTCTGGTGGGACAGCAGGTCGGTGCAGGCCTGCCGTTAGGGAAGGTGGGGGAGAAATGGGGAGAGAGAGAGATTAGTAAAGCCATACAGGATGCTTGCGGCCAAGATGATGCTTGCGGCCAAGATGATGAATCTATCTTTACAAGTTTTATGGCCCATATCGCTATCTATGTTAAAGATACATACGTAGACCCCAGGCAGGGCTACATGGCCTCTGTGTTCAAACATGCAGCCTTGGGCCTAGCTCTGCAGGCTGGCTGGTGGGTACTTAATGCCCATCCATAGCAAACACTGGATTCCTAGTGGGCCATGAGGGGAATGTGCGTGGTGAGGCCTAAGCCAGCAAGGTAAAGGGCTAATGGCCATGGCAGAGACCTTGGCTGTCGATTTCCCCTTTATACTTATCTAATCAGTCATGTCACCATACCACTGAACTTTCATGGCTTACAGAGCAGTTCTAGATTTTTCAGATGGGTCTAAAGGTTAATGATGGGTTAAAAATGTTCGTGATGATTGTGCAACTGCAATCACGAGAGACACACTGTAGTGATTATAGGAAGCAGTGGGGGCCACCCTGGATATACAGAAATAAGGGCCCTGTTTGAGAGGGTGCCAAGCCGCACACAGCATTTCTACTGCATTTCTTGGTAAGCTTTCTTCTGCAGCTAAGAAGGAAAAGAAGTAATCAACTTGAATTTCATTTCCTCTGCTGGCCTTCCAAAGAGCAGTGGGAGGTTGGGAGAGGAGGCCTGCTCCCTCTAGACAGTAAACAGCTGGTTTCCTTTGCAAATAAGAGGTGCCTGCCCTCCAGCCTTTGTCACAGGAGGAGGGCTCCTTCCAGAAAGCACGGCAGACCCTGAGCAGCCACTAGCTCTCACCTCGGCCAGGACCTCCACCTTTTTCCTGAGCAGGCCTGAGATGTAACGAATCAAGCCCCACTCCTGGTTCAGGCCTGCTTTCCCATAGAGCTCGCTGAGTAGGTTGTGAACGGTGACCCCGTGCTGTCCGGAGAGATTCGTGTCCCAGCTGGGACCCCTGTCAAAGGAGAGAAAGCCCAGAAGCAAGGCCTGGAATGTGAAAAGGCTGGCCAATTGCAGTGAAGCCCATTTGGCAGGGAGGGGGTGAATCACTGCGATTTCTGCCAAGTGCCAGGGCCCTCCTGGGCCTGGAGTGTCCGGGCTAGGTCTCACCACAGCAGCCCTCTGTCTACTTGAAACGGAAGCCCGATGTCAGGCAACTGGAGATCCTGCCTCCCCCTCGCCTTCTGGTCCAACATTAACAGGCCGAGAAGAGGATGGAAGTCTAATTCATGGTGATCCTGGGTAATGTGGGCGACTATAATCACGGCCAGGCTTGCGGAAGGGCAAAGAGATAAGGAATAGGGAGAAAGCTGAAGCGTGTGCCGACCACAGACTTACTTTATTACATACAGAATGTACAAAATGTCTGCTTGGTCCTGTAGATTCGAGCAATCTTTCAGCTGCTCAACCAGCTTCTCACAGTCCAAGTCCCCGTGGTCGTCTCTGGGCCACTGGAGGTCATCTCCTGGAGCCTGGCCCTGCAAAAGTCAAAAAGCAGGGAAGAGGGGATGAGCGTGTGAACTTGCAGACCAGGGAGTGTCCAACCTGGTCTCTGAACTCTGTGGTTGGGCTGTGTGCCTGTTTTCAGTGAATCTTTTATGTGTTTTTATTTCTATGCTCTCTTATTTTTGATCAGGAATTGATGGTCAATATTTACAAACGACTGGATTGAAGTGGTGAAAACATGCGTACGTTTTGTTTATGCATAAGTCAAAAGCAGCTGTACCACCCCCAGGGAGCAATCATGCCGCTGGTTGCCTTTGCAGTGGGGGAGGAGGTGCCTGGGAGGGCATTTACACAGGTCTGCCGGCTGACGCTATGCTCACACCTTATACCTTTAACTATATTGTATTTCAATATAGGTGTTATATTTCAATTCTTAAAGCAAAACAAAAAGTATATACATTTTAAACAAGCTAAAATTAAAGCTAGTTACAACGTTCTCAGACAGTGAATCTTTCTATTCATGTGGGATAAAATCGGGAGCTTTCTGAATAAAATAACAACTTACAGGAACCAGTGGGGATCTCCCTGGGGTTTTATTCTGCTGAGGAATCTTTTGCAGGTTTTGCACACTGCTCTGTAAGCAGCCCCCACCCCGGCCCCTAATGGCTGCCCAGCACAGACAGGACAAGTCCAGGTTGCCTTTCCCTACACAGAAATGATAAAGCTTCGCAGCAAATCAAGGTGGGCATTGCAGATACCAGGTGAGCAGGTTCATGTCAAAACCCAGAACTCCTGATTCTAGAAGTCCTGGATCAACAAGGAGCGCTTTCTCATGAGTTGAGCCTTTAAGAGTTCTTGGGACCACACCAGCATCACAGAACATCATGCTTTACAAAAAGTGATTCTAAGTACTTTACCTTTTTTAGGAGTGACTGAGGAGAATCAACAAGATTCAGCGATTTGCGGTGGGCACTTAGAACTTTAGTCGGCAAAGTCATGGGAACAACTAAAAAAAGGAAAAAGAGTTCTTCTGAGGAAGAGGAAGAATAAAACACTACTTCTGAGAGGTACGGAAACTACTTCTTATTTAACACAAACCAATCAAAGGAACGACAGCTTATTATCTTAACTTTAACAGGAATTTATTACGTAGCCGTGTCATATGCTAAGGCTGGGAACAAGGAATGGGCAGGACGTGGGTCTTGATTTAAGGAGATGAAATTTACTTTTTCCTTCCTGGAATTCAGGAAAATTTATATAGCATCTTGGGACTGGAAGGAGTCTGAGAAGTGACTGAGTCCTAGCTTTTTTTCTTTCAGATAAGGAAGCTGAGAATCAGAGAAGGTAGACCATTTTGGCCGGTCACTGGCCCTCTCATAACTAAGGAGCACTGGCTCCTGAGCAGTCTGCTTCCTGCACTGCTGGGTGCTAGGCTTCTGTGTTTTACAAACATTGGTTATCATTATCCATACTTATTTATTAAGCCATAGCATGCTATAATGCTCAGTTGGGAAGAATATTTGCATACATATAATAGTAAAAGAATGAATATCGATTTAACTAAACTTTAATAAAACTACATTCATAGACTAGGGCAAGCAAAGCAGAGAAACAGTGATTTAAATGATTAAATCCTCACCCACACAAGAGAAAGGCGACAGATAGTGAATAAAGTAGATACATCGAAAGACAGGTATACCTGCATCGTTTTACAAACAGGGAGCTATGTAAATGCTAGAGTTGATGTGGTGGCCTCTAAATAAGAGGACTTGGGGGGCTGGGGGTGCGAAACAGGAAGCATCTGCATTTGCTGTCTTTTTGGATTCTTTGACTTTTAAATCATACCCATGCATTATTTTGATAAAAGAAATTACTGTAACAAGCAGGAAGGAGTTAATAACGCACATGGAATTTCCAAACCCTTTGCTTTTGCCATCATGGAAAGTATATCCTGAGTGGAGTGGATGGCACTGAAAACATGGCTGTCTTCTGTCTTCTTACAAAGTGGGGGCAGATAGCACTTCAAGGAAGTGCTCTGCGTTAGGTGGTTGATATACTGGTCAAGCTCGTCCTGGCTTTCTGTAATTGGACAAGAACAAGAGCCGAGTGAAAACAAGGCACAGAAATGCTCTAAGGGCATGTGTGTGGCAGGTGGTGCTGAACAGATTTAGTAGAAGACATTTGATATAAATATTTGTACCCTCACTGGTGAGGGTAAAGAGATTTACATTGAAAATATGCGTTTATAAAGTTATTGTTTGGAAAAACTTCCTCCGAGGAAAGAAAACAAGTCAGGTTAGAAAGTGTTTCCATCATATCATCCCAAGATGAAGTGCATGACATGTGCACAGCCATGGGTCAGCAGCTGACCTTGTTTTAACTTGTCATGTGTAAATTAAACATTATGGAACCTCCAGTCCCCATCCCGGTTTATTAAAAAGTGAAAAGCAGGGCCCTCCCTGGTGGTGCAGTGGGTCAGAGCTCAGCACTGCGAGGCTGTCCGTAGCCACTGACATGAGTTCGACCCCTAGCCAGGGAAGTGACCCACATGGCGTGGCAGGCTTCTCCTATGTCATCTGTTGCTCCCCTCAGCAGTGTACTTCAGTAGATCTGCCTGTTCTCCTCCTCATTCTGTCTCTGGTAAATCCTTACACCCCCTGCACCTCTGGCCTGTACCCCAGTTCATGTGTGCACAAATAAATCCATCTAAGTGAAAGGGCCCTCCCTGGTGGCGCAGCAGGTTAAAGCACAGCACTAAGAAGCTAAAGCCACTTCAGCACAAGTTCAAACCCCGCCCCGGAGATGACCCACATGGCACAGCAGACCTCTCCTGATGGGCCCGCTGCTCCCCTCAGCAGTGTACTTCGATGATCTGTCTGTTCTGCTCCCCACTCTGTCTCTGGTGAATCCTCTCACCCCCCCTGCACCTCTGGCCTGCACCCCAGTTGTGTATGCACAA